AGCATCACATAATAGCAGTTATTTTTTGAGCAACTACTATGGTTCAGGCAATGTATGTGCCTTCATTTAATCCTCACAGCAATCCTGTGAGGTAGTATTATCCTTCCCAATTTTCAAATGAGGAAACAAAGGCTGAGAACAAATAAAGCCACTTTTGGTCCATGGCAGTGACACTACAGTGCCCCTCCTCTTCACTCCTAAAGAAAATGTCATATTTTGATTCTAGTATTGATTATTTTCCTGTTTGCCTTCTAATGAAAATTAGTTTATCAATTATGTCCCATTAGCTTAACTCTCACTAGTCTTCTCATTAAATAGAAATTTATTGGAGGTAGAGTTCTATAAATAGGGGATAGTATGTTATCTCTTGCCTAAAGATAAGAAAAGAGAAAGGCTGATTCTACAAAGTGAATTATTTAGCTTAAAATTGAGCAATCTACTAGAACATGGGTCAGTGGCAAATTATTGGAGGGGGGTGTGGAATAAGCAGGACCAGGAACAATAGGCTTTTTGTTAGCCAATGGGGAGTCAAGGGGAAACAGCAACTCCCCAGTGTCCCCTCCCCACCCCCCACTGTTTTGGGTACAGGCTGCTGATTTGTCTTATTACTCCAATGGTCCTGTGGGAGGGCATTGTTGAAACAGTGAAGAGATAGTCATTGGAGAGTATCACATCAACCTGAGTCTGAACCCCTGCTTCTGATAAAAGTTAACCTCTCTGAGATCTAGTTTCCTTGTCCATAAAACGGGGAAAAAAATCTTACAGGGTTCTCAGAGTTAAGATAATGTGTATAAAGGCATAGTATCAATCACATAGAGGATGGTGAGGAAGTGACAGTAGTTGCTATTAAACAAGGTGCTAGTTTTGTATGTCATAAGTAGTGTTACAATGTGAGGTGGAAAAGCCAGAGAGAGGTGGGGTGCAGATGCAGGAAGATAGTTCTTAGAGGAGCAAGCCCTCCACCTTAGCTCCATCAACTGCCAGCCTTCCATAGCACCTTTGAACCCTGGGCAATTAGAGCTCTCCTTGGGGTCTTGATGGGCTTTTTGCTTCTTCCAAGATGGGAAGGCCCTGGACTGCAAGTGTTGTGGACTCATGGAGATCTAGGAAGCTCCATGAACTTCACAAGTGGTTGCCATAAACTGGGAAAGAAAAGGGGACTTCTCTGTGTTAGGCTTTATGATTTTTCCCTTTCATCCTTCCACTAGCCCTCTAGCACAGCGGTTCTCAACCTGTGGGTCGCGACCCCTTTGGCAGTCGAACGACCCTTTCACAGGGGTTGCCTAAGACCATCCTGCATATCAGATATTTACATTATGATTCATAACAGTAGCAACATTACAGTTATGAAGTAACAGGGGTTGAAGACCATCCTGCATATCAGATATTTACATTATGATTCATAACAGTAGCAACATTACAGTTATGAAGTAGCAACGAAAATAATTTTATGGTTGGGTCACAACATGAGGAACTGTATTTAAAGGGCCAGAAGGTTGAGAACCACTGCTCTAACAGAATCAGTGCCTTACCCGTTTCTCCTGGGTACTCACCATTCTAGTACATACCCCACATGGTCCTATTGCAAGAACCTGTGACTCTGCCGTAGCACTTCTCTAGGCTTGTGTGGCACAGGCTCTGATTCCCTCTCAGTTTCAAAGGCCCTGGACTATTGAGGTTGTGACAAGTAATTAGGGCCCTGAAGCAGCCCTCAGCCAGTGAAAGATGGAAGTTGAAGGATAAATACCACAGCTTCCTCACCTCTCAGGTGGGTTCATTTTAAACAGTTCTATAGGGCTTAGCTCCCAGCAGCAACTTGATTACATACTCTCATTGGCTTCCTTCCCTTCCTACCTCACTGCTCACTCCCCTTTCAGTGCTTACTGGATCAGGGCTGGGACCAGGGTGAGGGGTACTCACTCTTGGGTTCATGTAAGGGCAGGGTTGACACGTCCGTGAACTTTGAGGGCCTTTTTACATCTTGTAGCAGGGCACCTCACATGCATCATTCTAACCCCAGCCCTGGCCTGGATCGCTTTCCAATTAAACTATTTACACTCAAATTTGATCTAATTCTGGGGAACCCAAACTAAGGCAAATCCTATGTAGAAATTAGTCTCCATCTTTTACACATGGACAAACAGGCTCAGAGAAGTGAAGAAACTAAGGTCCTACAGCTAGTAAATGGGATAGTATTTGAACTCAGGTCTGTCTGACAGCAGAGCTCATGCTCTGTACTTCACTATCCTACCTCTCACCTCTCCCTTGAGTGACAAAATCTCAGTGGAGATTTCAGGTTTGGATGGGCTCTTTCTCGCCGGGGAGGGCAGTCTTGGCCCTAAATTGACTTAGCAGGGTGAAGGGAAGGTGGGTAGTATAAGTGGATAGAAGTATCAGTGGGAAGATGGAGGCATGTGTAAACCTAGTGGAAAGGCTGAAGCCATATGCACTAGGAAGGCAGGAAGAGGTTACTGATTTCCTCTCAGTTTCAAAAGCCCTGGACTACTGAGGTTGTGGGAGGGCTCTTCAATTTAACAAAAATTAACATCCTATTCCTTGTCAGGCCTAGAAGTGGGCTCTGGAGTTCTAAAGATGAGTAGGAAGCATGTGCTTGGAGTCCACAGTTATCAATGCAAAGATGGGAGAAAATACCTGACACTATGGGACCCATAGGCCACACCCAGCTGGGGTTAGGGCCGGGAGGAATTACCCAGGAAGGCTCCCAAGCCTTGGTGATGACTGAGGTGTAATTTAAAGGTGGAAAGGCTGGAAAGGGCAAAGAGGGAGTCATTCCAGACAGATCCGCATGAACAAAGACCTAACAGTAAAGCAGCTTGATGGGTAGAAGAGAACTGCAAGGCATAGCCTAGTGAAAGGGCATGGAGGGAACTGTGGGGAGCTTATCGAGGGCCTGTTTGCCTTGTTGCGGGGCACTGTCTGCTGTGAGAAGCAAGCCTGGGAGCAACTCAGAGCAGGGAGAGTCTGGTTCCTAGCCCAGCAGAACTCTGGCTGTGCCCCACCTTTCCTCCTGCTGACCTCTCCCCATTTCTCAGTTCCTTCTGGACAGCTCAAATTTGATCTAATTCTGGGGAACCCAAACTAAGGCAAATCATACCTATGGAGAAATTAGTCAGGATTTGTCCTTCCCCTTTTGGTCAGAGGTCATCTGGTGTTTGAGGAGAACTGCTGGCTACTACTGTGCCTAGGCTACCGCAAGGCCTGTCAGCTGTTCACAGACCCTAAGTCCAGGTTGCCTCCTCCCTCCAAAGGCCCTGGCACTCAGCCTGGGGTTCTGGGACCTCTGCTCCTGGGGAGATGGACACACATTTCCAGAAACAGACAAGGAGCTCTGGCTCAGGAGACTGCAGACTGGCTGCTAGCATGAATCACAGCTGGGCCTTTCACACTCAGTTCCATATTCTCATCTCTCAACTGAACAAGGTTGAGAGAGACTGGAAATCCAGGTTAGGCAGGACACTACATCATGGGTGACTGTCCTGTTCACTCCCATCTCGAGCCCCCTGCCCGTCAGGGCCTATATGCCGTATTGGTACCCAGAGAACTGTGCAGCAGGGCTGATGTCGGGTGTTCCCAGGCCCAGTCAATGCCAAAACGAATCCAAGAGCTACTGTCCCGGGCCTTCATCATCCTGGTGGAGGTCATGTACTGTCTGTGGATAATGGTAGGGTTACTGCTGATGAGGTAACCTAAAGCTTTAACGTATCTGCTCACCAGTTTCCCTGAAATGAAAATTGGTGCAGTATGTTGTCTCCTACCATGGTGGGTATCTTGGTTCATGTGGGCTGCTATAACAAAATGCCACTGTCTGGGTAGCTTATAAACAATAGAAGTTTATTACAATTCTGGAGCCTGGAAGGCTGAGATCAGGGAGCGAGTGTGGTCAGGTGAGGGTCCTCTTCTGGTTGCAGATTTCTGGTGTCCTCCACATGGTGGAAGGAGTGAGGGATCTTCTGGAGCCTCTCTTATGAGGAGACTGATCCCATTCATGAGGGCTCCATCCTCATGACCTAATCATTTTCCAAAGGCCCCACCTAATACCATCACCTTGGGCATTAGGTTTTCAACATGAATTTTTGGAGGAACACACATTTCATACCATAGCAGCAAGCACAGTGATGCCTCAAGGTTCTGTGCATTCAAGAAGACTAGTTCAGCCGGCTGGCGTGGCTCAGTGGTTGAGCGTCAACCTATGAACCAGGAGGTCAGAGTTTGATTCCCGGTCAGGGCACAGGCCTGGGTTGCGGGCTCAATCCCCGGTGTGTCACTTGCAGGAGGCAGCTGATCAATGATTCTCTCATTATTGATGTTCCTCCCTCCCTCTCCCTCCCTCTCTGAAATCAATAAAAATATATTAAGAAAAAAAAAAAAGACTAGTACAGGGGAAAACCAACTTGGTGGCCCACAGATTGACTACAGCCTGAGACTCCCCTCCCCTTTCAGTAGAGAAGACCTATGTTGTGAACCTACTGTCCCCCTTGGCCTACAGACTAACGGCTAGATTCCAGTCTAGCTCCACCGCTCCACCATGCAGCCCCATCTCCATGCATCCTCTTTAGAACCTTGGAGCTATACTCCATTCCATGAAGATGTCTGATTCTCCATCATGTTGTACATGCTCCTCTCTTTTCCAAGGACCACCTGTCAGAATACTACCATTCCTTCAAGGCTCAGCTTCCTCAGCTTGCCCTGCCCACTCCAAGGCAAGTCTCTTCTGTGCTCACATGACCTCTCACTCACTAGTATTTCCACATTTTGCCAAATTGTCCATTGGATTGCATATTTCCCAGACTAGGCCTCTCCATTTTCTTTCCAGGGGTGAGCCACCACCTCAGAGCTCAGACTCTGAGTTTTTGTAAAATGGACAGAACTCCCATTCTTGCAGAGAGCATGTCCTAGAGCCCTTGACCCATTTTACCTCTTCAACTTCCTGTGGTCATCTTGCTTAAGTTTGCACCATGGCCTTGCCTACCCTTGGCTCCTCTTAGGGCAGACTCAAAAGGAAGTGACTTAGCTGTTGTCTAATAAAAGGGCGGGGCTTGGGGACATTATCAGGTCACTTGTGCATTTCATTTTGGGTGCAAACCAGGCCCGTGGGATGCCTCATACTGAGGGACAAGCGCCCAGGCCTGAGGAAACTGACCAACTGCTGTTTTCCCCAGGTAAGAGCCTCCTCCTCTGTTTAGTTCCTACCTGCCTCAGCCCCAACCCTCACCCTTATCTCTGCTGCTTGGCCCATACTGGAGGAGTAAAGGCTGGAAAGACTAAGCCTTTGGTCCTCAGTTGTGGCTCCTTCCCCAGCAAATATCTGTGGTATGTGTTTCTAAAAGAAGGCTCATTCCATGTAGCTGGCTCAGCTGAGGGAAGCCAAGAGCCCCACAGTTCTTTAAATGTGTGTGACCTGGGCTGGGGTCTGGGGATCTAGTGATATGGGAGACATGTCCATCTCTACAAGGACTCTCAGCTGGAAGAGACAGACATGGATATATTTACTGAGAGGGTAAATGCTGGGGTTTCTTGGAGGAAGATTCACAGTCCCTGGCATGGAGAGGTGCTGAACAAATGTGAAATAGAAGAGGGAATGAAAAAGTGAATGAATGGCTGAGCCAGCTGGGCCTTGAAAGGAGAATGAAAGCTCACCACTGTGTGTAGCCCTTGGCCCTTTCCAAAGGTAATTGCCTCAGTTACCCCATTTTATCTTTGAAACTGACCTATAATGTATGTGGAACTAACATTCCCATTTGAGAGACTTAGAAACTGAGTGTAGGATTATATGACTCTGGGAATATTTGTTAGAAATGGATTTCTTGTTTCTCTGAATAAGACTACCTGCCCACCCCCAAATTCACAAAGCTGTTTAGCACCTACCTATGCTGAACCCTGTGTTGGGCGTTGAAGATGCAGAGATGATCCAGACACGGTGGTTCCAGGCTCAGGGAACACGGAACAAAGTCTAGACATCGAGAGACAGGATGAAGCTTGTAGTCAGTGTATAGCATATGAAGGGCAGTAGTGAGAGGAAGCTTGGTTGGAGGACAGGGTTAGGGGCCTGGAATGCCACAGTAAAGAGTTTTAGACTTCTTTTTTTCTGCAGTGGGAGCCATCAGAATGTGACAGTTCCTTTCTTATGGGGATAGATCTGGGGAGTGACATGATAAAATCTATTTTAGCACAGTTGTTGGTGGCGGGCCAGGGAGTGGTGGACAGATTAGAGTAGGAGAAGGTGGAGCATAGGAGAAGAATCATGGGCAAAAGTGAAGGAGAAAATGAATGTGTTGAGTGTGAGGAGCCTCTCCAAGTTTGGATCATGATATCTAATAGGTCATTAGAATTCGGGATTTGGCTCAGGAAAGGGATATTTAGGAGCTCTCACACAGAAGTTTTAATCAATTCTTGGGGATGAGTGAGATAAAGACGGAGTGTGGAAAAGAGCTATCAGAAACCTGGGAGCCCCATTGTTTAAGGGGAGAGGAGAGAAGGAGTTAATGAAGATGATGAGAGATTTAGGAAGGAGGCCCAGGAGAAACTGGCTGTTGAAGCCAAGGGACAAGAGTATTTTGTAGTGAAGAGAATGCTCATGACTGCATGCCTGAGAGAGGGCAGTACTAGTGGGGCCTCAGCCAAAGGCTGGGGTTGGGCGGTCAGATTATAGGTGACCACAGGGAGTGATGGGAGTAGAAGTTGGGAGGGGTTGCAGGGGTGGAAGGTGTCTTTCCTGAAGTTGCCTTTCCAGGAGGAGAGGTGGAGTGATTTGTTGGACCCTCCACTGCATTTCTCATTTCCTTCTCCCCTGAAGGGCACCTGGATCACTGAGGCTCCCTCAGGATCCTTCTGGAACATCAGTGCCACCTCTAGCTTGAGTGAGCACACCTGACATTCCAACAGTCCTTTAGAGTGTGCAAAGGACTTTCAGAATCATTAATTCCTTTAATCCTCACAAGAACTTAATTTTTTTCCTGTCTTAGAAGAGGAAATTGAGGTTCATAGAGTTTTCATGCAAATTCAGCTAAATAAATCTGAAGACATTGAGCAAGGTTCTTTTGCTCTTATTATCTCTTTTGCTCCTCCCCAAACCTACCCAGGAGCTGAGATTTAAATTAAATATTCCAAAACATTTTTCCAGGTGTTATTCCATGTAATTCTCACCAACCTTTTACAGGTATCATAAATGATTTGCCCAAAGTTTGTGCCACGAGTAGGAGCCCTTACTGAAGCACAGGTCCACCCCTCACTTCTTCTGCATCTATCTTCAGGAAGAAATCCATGCACCTAGCTTGGCATAGAAACATCTGTGGTCCAGCCTGCTTGTTGCTCCAGCACATCACACTCTTTCTTCCAAAAGCTCTAGCACATTCCTGAACTCCTAAGCACAGCAGCTTGTCCATCTCGGTTGATGCCTATGTCAACCCTGCTGGGATTGCTGTAGGGCTGTGAGGTCCCTGAAGGTGGGGCCCTGGTTGGCAGCGGAGTAGGCAAAGGAACTGGTAAATGTGAATGAACCTTCCCACCCCCTGGAGGGTTAAGTGAGTTACAGGACAGAATGAACGAAAGGCATTAGGAATAGAAACCAGCCTTCCTGGTCCTCTCTTATGACACATGCTTCTGGAAACTGACTGAGGTTCTGAGCTCTGCCCATAGCTTCCTTCCTGTCCCCTTCAGAAGGAAGAAAGAGTCTGAGTCACAGCCTCCTAGGGCCTGTAGAATAAGGGGTTCACCCAGGCTGCCTCTTTCCTCCCATAGGTGGCTACTCCCAATTGTGGAACCACATGGACTCCATTGGGCCTGTAGGGTTGTGGCAAGAGGAAGCAGCCCCCGGTAGCCCCCAGGAGGGCTTGCCCTGCTCTCCGGACAGCTCTGAACTGGTAAGTTCAGCACTGGGTTCCTGTAAAGGTGCTTATTGAGAGCTGCCAAGAGCAGGATTGGCTAAAGATGATGTGGGGCCATGTGATCACACCTTTGCAGCACCTTCCAGTTTTCAGAGCCTTTCATATCTGATCTGGTCAGTGTCTCCTACGACGCTCCACACAACTGCAAGGCAGGGACTAGCTCCTCACTTTACAGCCCAGGAAGAGGAGGCTCAGAGAAATGGTGTGCCTTCGGCTAAGGCATGACAGGAGTCTGAGTTGGACTGAGATCTTTCAGCCCCAAATATATTGCTTTGGCCACATTGCCGCACAGGCACCTCCTCTGCCCCAAATGGGCTAACCCAGTCTAGAAAGCTGTGTTCTTAAGGACCCTCCTTCCCGCACTTCTCTAGTCACTCCTGCAGCTCTCCCTCCCCTCCACGCCATGCAGTCAGGCACGCAGAGCCGAGGTTACAGTGCGGCTTACTCTACATGCTTCCGATTAGCTCAGAAGTGAGTCTCTTTTGTCCTCTTGACCAAGATGTAGAGCCCTTGCATACCACATCCTTGAGCCGGAAACACTTGTGTAAGTCATTTCATATCCCGTAATCTCTGTTTCCTCATCAGTAAAATGGAAGAAAAGAAAATGGAGTCCACCCACCCCCTGGAGGGTTAAGTGAGTTACAGGACATAATAAAGGACAGAGGCATCGAGAGAGGGTCCTTCAACTGTTCCCTGCAGCTTCTTTAGTTTTCCAGCTTGTCCTGACATCTTCTGGACTTGGTTCATTGCCCAAACTGTGGGGGCATCACCCCTCACTGCATTTCATGCTTCCACTTCACCCTCATCCAATCTCTGCCCCAGACCCTGCTGTAAACATTTCCTCTGTGCTCCACCCACCAC